GAGAGAGAGAGAGAGAGAAACATCAGTGATGAGAGAGAATCATGGACCGGCTGCCTCCTGCACACGTGGGGATTGAGCCTGCAACCCGGGCACGTGCCCTGACCGGGAATCGAACCGCGACCTCCTCGTTTATAGATTGACACTCAAACCACTGAGCCATGCTGGCCGGGCTAATGTCATTCTTTTAAATTGCTGGGAATGCCCACATTATTATTATACAGGTTTATATCCAATTTGGGACCATCTCGCTTGGCTAATCTGGGTGTTGTCTGGTTTCTCGTCTCGGGGTTCAGACTGTGATACGTCACGGTTGTCAGCAGAACTCTGAAAGACGTCCACGTGGTAAAAGGAAGAGAACCTCCTCAAAATAAAAGCAGGAGACACGCTCTGCAGCGGAATGGGGGGGTCTCTGCCCGGAAGAGGAGAACCCCGCCTGTCTCCTGCAGGAGGCCTGCTTCCCCTTTGCCCGCGAGCCCCGTGTCCGAGGCACGCTGACCAGTCACTGTCTTTCCAGACCAGTCCGGGCATGGTCCCCAGCCACGGGTTCAGCCCCAGGTCCTACTTCTTCGACAACCCTCGCAGATACGACAGCGACGACGACCTCGCCTGGAACGTCGCCCCTCAGGGACTTCAGGGAAGGTGAGCCTCGCTCAGGCTGGGGAAAGGGTCTGTTGGATTGATTCTCAAAGGCTCGTTAGCTTTTTAAAAATATCTACTTTTATCGATTATAGAGAGGAAGGGAGAGAAAAAGGGAGAAACATCAATGAGGAGAGAATCATGGATCGGCTGCCTCCTGCACACCCCACACTGGGGATGGAGCGCGCAACCCGGGCACGTGCCCTGATTGGGAATTAAATCATGATCTCCTGGTTCATAGGTCGACACTCAACCACCGAGCCACGCCGATTAAGGACTAAGCAGTTTATAGGTAGAAACTCAAAAAAGCCCCATGAGGTAGTCACAGATGATAAAACAGGCACAGATCCACAGGTAGCGAAGGATACCCACTCCGCGTTAGGATTCAGGTCGCTCGTTGCTAGGACATTGTGTTACCACCACCACCCCGCCCCCCCGTGATGGGTTTGTGGCTCTAGGATCACTGGACCTGCGGGCTCTAGAGTTGAGTAGGCTGTGCGTGGACCTCTCGCCGCTGCCCGGAGCACTGGCTTGTGGAACAATGGGCTTCAAGAGGCCACCTTAGCCCTAGCCGGTTTGGCTCAGTGGATAGAGCCTTGGCCTGCGGACTGAAAGGTCCCAGGTACGATTCCGATCAAGGGCACATGCCTGGGTTGCAGGCTCGATTCCCAAAGGGGGCGTGCAGGAGGCAGCCGATGCATGATTCTCTTCCATCATGGATGTTTCTCTCTCTCTCCCTCTCTCTTCCTCTCTGAAATCAATAAAAATATATTTTTTTAAAAAGAAGCCATCTTAAGAATTTTCGGAATTGTCGGTGATTTACACAGAGTCGTTGATAGTAAGGTCAGTGTTTCACGTCGCTGAAATACCCCTTTTTCTCTTGAAGTTTCGCTCCCGACTACTATGACTGGGGACAGCAGACCAACAGCTTCCTGGCACCAGCGGGGACTTTACCTCCGGACCTGGTAGTGGATCCTGGCAAGCCACGCCATGGGTAGCACCAGCTAACAGCTTTACGGACCATTCCTCGGTTGAGAAGCTTGAGGAAAACGGACGCAACGAAAGCTGAATCTTTAGGGCACTTTTCCTCACGAAATAGGACTTGATTTTTATCGGTTACAGGTTTCTCCTGGCTCCCTAGGGCTAAGCAATAATGTAGATCAACACAACCTGATTTTAGTACTAAGAAGGGAGCCCTGGACGCCTGTTTCCAGGGGTGTAATTTAAACTTTAAAAATTCTGTACTTTTATAAAAATGTATTTTATATAACTTAAATAATAATGCTAAACTATACTAGGGGGTTTGGAGAAGATTACTGTAATACAGGTTCTAGTTTGCACAGACATTGATGCATAATTCACTTTAAAAAGTATAGATGCCCCAGCCGGTTTGGCTCAAGGGATAGAGCGTCGGCCTGCGGACCAAAGGGTCCTGGGTTCGATTCCGGTCAAGGGCACGTACCTCGTCTGCAGGCTCCTCCCTGGTCAGGGGCCCTGGTCCAGGCTCGTGCAGGAGGCAACCAATCGATGTGTTTCTCTCACATCGATGTTTCTCTCTGTCTCTCCCTCTCTCTCCCACTCTCTCTAAAAATCAATGGGAGGAAAAATAAGAAAAGTATACAGTGTATGGTCTGAGGGTTCTTTAAGGCTTTTGGACGAACTGGTTTCTCAGATCCCTACCTTTCCAGGTCCCTTGGATTCTGAGCTCTGCGCTGGGCGACCCTCCTGACAGCGCCCAGGGTGAAAGGTAAAAGGTAGCAGAGTATCAACTGACCACCTAGAGGTCACGGGCTCCTTAGAGGTTGTTAAGGCCCTGGGAGTGGATGCCAAGAATCTCAGTGTTGCCCAGGGTTTGGGATTCCTTCTCAGGAGGTCACTAAGGTCTGCACCCAAAGGATCATGGGAAGAAGGTGGACAGAGTTGACTCCTCTGCTGGGGTCAGAGATGTGGCCTTGTTTTTCAGCCCAAAGACGTGTGATAATCCACTCGTTACCTCTGACGGCAGCGAGAAGGCACCTTTCCCAGTCCACTAACCGCCCATGACATTGAAGGAACAAGGAGAGGGTCCCAGAGGGGGTCAGTAATAAACACCCGGGCCCTGGAGCCACAAGACTGGAACCCCAACAGGGTTCCTTCCATTTCCAACCGTATTTAAAAATGCCTTTTATTTTATGTTAAATATATTTGTATTAGTTTCAGAGAGGACGGGAGATGGAGAGAGAGAAACATCAATGATGAGAGAGAATCACCAATCAGCTCCCTCCTGCAACGCCCTCCAGTGGGGATGGAGCCCTCAACCCGGGCATGTGCCCTCCCAGTGGGGATGGAGCCCTCAACCCCGGACATGTGCCCTGACCGGGAATCAAACCCACAACCTCCTGGTTCATAGGTTGATGCTCAACTGCTGAGCCCCGCCGGCCGGGCAGTGCCCTTTAAGTCGCTCTGAAAGGGCCACTGGACGCTGCCGGTAGGAGAAGCCCTCGATACTGCCTCTCATGACGCCTCTCGGTCACGCACGGGACACGCTGCAGACAACTGCTTCTACGTCGTCTCTCGTGTAAGTGAAACACGGTGTGAAATACTGGTTCTCCAGCCACAAGTGCCATTCCAGCACTCCAAGATAGATTTATATATGTGACATGTAATATATATGATAATTGTATATCCTGCAACTGTTAAACAGCCCCCTTCCGGGAAATGGCCCCATTCGTGCATTCACTGGGTGATTCCTGGGATCGAACCCGCAACCCTGGCGCACTAGGACGATGCTCCAAACGAGCTACTGGCCTGGGCAATGGTAGATGTGCTTTTTAAAATCACAGTGAGATTTAACCCCAAATAAGTAAACCACCCATGTCTGACCACCAAAAAAATAAATAAAAACACAGTGATTAAAATATCACTAAGATCCTATAATGATTATACTCACCCTATGATATATAAACACTTGGGTATTCTGTTATTACTGGCAGGAAAATGGAAATGCCCAGCATTATTTGGTAAAAGCCATAATCTCTTTTGGTGATAAAGCTGCTAGTATTTATATGAACTATTATTTTTTATTGGAAAGGATAAAAAGTGCCTAATTTTCTCGTCTCCCCCCTTTACAAGTATTATAAGCACAGCCAGGACGTTAAGAACTGTCAGGCTAGTTTTCTCGTGTAGTAAATGGTCGTGTTTACCCTGTGATGTGTTACAGATTGGGATGGAAAGGAAGATTAAGTTTCCTAATTTACATGCTGCTACGTCCAGCAACAGAGCGACTCAGATACTAAAGGCTCAGAGAAGGCAAGGAATGGCGGTTACTGTTCTCAAGTACCCCAATGTCCTTTTTTTTTTTTATTAATACATTTTTATGGATTCCAGAGAGGAAGGAGGAGGGAGAGAGACAGAAACATCAATGGTGAGAGAGAATCATGGATCGGCCGCCTCCTGCACGCCCCACACTGGGGATGGAGCCCACAACCTGGGCATGTGCCCTGACCGGGAATTAAACCGTGACCTCCTGGTTCATAGGTCAACGCTCAATCACTGAGCCATGCTGGCCGGAACCACTGTGAATGTCGGTGGATCCTGATGCTTCAGTGTTAGAGATCTTTAGAAAAACAAACAAACCTGCCAATACAAAATTGGGCACTAAAGTGAGGGAAAGACAAACTTCAGTAAACGATGCAGCATGACCGGGCAGTCATCTGGGAAGAACTCGGTTGCATCCATAACTTATACCTTAAGCCAGAATATACTCGAAAGGAATAAAAATTTAGGTTAAAAACATATACACACACACTAAACCATAAAAGTTCTAGGAGAAAATACAGGGACTTTACTGCTGTGGAGTGAAGATTCCACTTGGAATCTTAGCGTGACTCCAAGTCCAGAAACCACTATAAAACCACATGGCAAAGCCACCATAAGCAAAGTCCCAATAAATGACTCCTAGGAATTCCAGGACAGGCTAAAAACGGGCCAGAGGTAGAAACAAGAGGAAGTGCAGGCGGCTCAAACGTCAAAAGCAGTCAACCTTACTTATAATAAAATTACAAGCACACACCTATAATTTTGCATCTGGCAAAACGGAGATTCTGATGACGCCTATGTTGTGAGGTAGTGGGTAGGCGGGCATGGTCTGAATGACAGGTGGGAATGGGAACGGGTGACTGACCCTTAGGAAGGGCAACGTTCTAAAACCTTTCACACATACAAGTGCATACGGTTTTTCACCCCAGAATTCTACAACTGCATCATTACATGCGTGTGAAATGACACCTACGTGAGGTCTGGTAACGAGCCACATGATTACTAATAGGGGGTTGGTTAAGTGATTGCACGTTCCTATAATGGAATACCAAGCAGTCACTAAAAAAAAACCCAAAAAAACAAAAAGACGAAGAGAAAGCTATCTAGTGATATCGGGGAGTTGCCAAGAAAAATTAAGTGAGAAAAGCAAACAGCACGTCTGGGCCACCACTCGGTGTAAAACCGTGTCTGCGCCTCCCGCCGTGTGGCTGGGACCCTGAGCAAGGCCAGAGGCCTCCGTGGGGGCGGGGAGGGGACACAGACATCACATTCCACTGTAGAGCGTTTCTGTTTTGGTTTTGAACCATGTGAATGTATTACCTGTTCAAAAAATTAAATAAAACATGTCTATTTAAAAAGCCTGTGACTTGGTACAATTCAAAAGATGCTGCGAGTCCCCGGTTCTTAGTGGAATGGCACTGAACCCACGTGTGAGGTCACGGATGCCGCATGTCCTGGGAGGAGGCTCCAGGCAGACTTCCTGGTTTCAAGTCCTCGTCCCTCCGCCTGGACTGCAGGCGAGTGTCTTAGCCTCCCTTCCCCTCGGTCCCCCCGGTCCTTCCTTAGGACCCAGGCGACGGCCTGTGCAAGTCCCCAAGGCAGGACCCTGCCCAATCCAAAGGAACCACCCAACTGCTCAGAGTTTTCTCCCTGCTCCCCAAATTATAACCAAACCCTCTCAAAAGAGGACGTGTTTAAAGGGGAAAACGCCCTGGCTGGTGTGGCTCAGTGGACAGAGCGTCAGCCTGTGACTGAAGAGTCCCATGTTCGATTCCAGTCAAGGGCAGGTACCTCGGTTGCAGGCTCCTCCCCAGCCCAGGCCCTGGTCGGGGCTTGTGCAGGAGGCAACTAATCGATGTGTTTCTCTCCTTTCCCTCTCTGCCACTCTCCCTAAAAATCAATGGAAAAATATCCTCGGGTGAGGATTTACACTAAATAAATCCTATATAATAAAAGGCTAATATGCAAATCGACCGAACAGCAGAACGACCGAATGGCAGAAGCCAGGCTGATGGCTGGCGAGCACGACGGTAGCGCTACGGATGTTGACTGCCAACTTAGGCCTGCTCCCTGCGGGCAACGGGCCTTAGCTGTCAGTCGGACATCCCTTGAGGGTTCCTGGACTGTGAAAGGGTGCAGGCTGGGCTAAGGGACACCTCCCCCCAAGTGCATGAATGTCGTGCACTGGGCCTCTAGTAAATAAATAAATCTATATATATAAAAGGCTAAGTGACCGACCGTATGTATGTATGTCCAACCGACCGACTGGCTGGAACATAGGACGCGCACTGGCAATTTAAAAATAAACGTTGACTGGCGCATGTGCGATACATATGAAGCTCTCGCTGGCATCCATCACATGTGTTTCAATCTGTCATTGTCAAGCGTGAATTTGGTTGACACTTCTACTTAGAGAAAGGGCGAATAATGATATTAAAATATTTCTTCTAATTAATTTCCTTTCAATGTGCACAAATCCGTGCACCGGGCCACTAGTAAATAAATAAAAGGGGAAACAAGAAGGAAAGATGGCAGAAACATTTGCTTTAATTTGCACGCCTACTACACAGTGGGTACAACAGCACAGGATTTGCAATTTGTTCCTGCAGATACTCCCTAGAAGAGAGCGCACTCTCACGTGAACACGTCAAGAGGTGCTAGTCGGCAGGTGTCAAACCTGAAAACCGCTACTCGTCTGTCTGACCTCCTCGGAGGCTGGGAATCACCACAGGAGCAACAGGCAAACTGGACCCATTTCAATAGCGAGCGTTTCTCACTCACATCGATGGCACTAAGAAAACAGGCCGGGCCCCTGGAGGGGGGGTCGCTGCCTCGTCTGCATCTTCTGGCTTCATCAGCTGGACCATCATGTCCGTCGTTACAGTACCCAGTGCGAGGTTCCCGACCAGGTGACGAGATAAAGACACAACGCCAAGAGGTGCCACCAGCCAAGTGTTTACAAAGCAGTCAGTGTCCTGTATCACTTCCCAGCAAAGGCACGTGACCTGGAAAAGCAGCTTACATCACATGACCACCAAGCAGCAGGCTCACAGCACAGATTCTTCCAGCACATGAGCCGCTTAAGAGACACAGACACAAAGATGCAGGCTGCCCCCACAATCTGGTAAAATAAGTGAAGCAAATGAATTTCAGCTTAAATAGACTTCATTTGTTTATTTTTCTCGGCAGTGAAAAAACATCGGTTTAAACTTTGAAAAGAGCTTTTACCCCAACCAGACCTGAATCGCCTAGAACTCACTCTAACGTACAATTGTTGCCTAACACAGAGAAAAAGCAATACATGGAAATGACCAAGGATTTTGCAGGAAATCGAGTTTAAATAATAGGCTTTGTCTTCAGCTGAGGGAACGAGGAAGTCACGCCACCAAAACGATTTTTAAGCTCACAGGAAACATAAACCAAGTGCAAGCTTTCACATTTTCTTAAGCTCCGAATGAGCACTGGGAGTAATTCTCCGCGATACAACTGACCTGCAATATTACCACTTTTAAACCTGTTTACCCCAAGGTCCCCTCGCCCCCACACGACACTTCACCCCTGAAATGAAGGAAAAGTGGAGGCGGCTCCCAGCCAGCCTGTTCATTCGACTGAACAAAAACATCACCATCGCCAACAAAGCCCAGCTCCACAGCCATTAGGAATCGGGTCAGGAGAGAATTAGCCAGTGAGCCCTTCCTCCAACCACACCCCTCCCTGCAAGGGTGACTAAGTCTTTTTAAAAGACGGGGAGCCAACCCAATGGCTGTAAAACGTGCCACTAGCCCAGCGGCCACGGCTCCGACGGGCCCAGCAGCCATGGGCGTTAAGGGTCACACAAGGCTCAAGAGGCCAAGGAGACCTACTGGTCCCCTCCTTCCCCCACACAGGCGCCACCTTCCCACATTCTATCTCCTAACACCTTTTAAAAGGATCCGCATTTCCAATGTTAAGGGTATTTGGATCCCGGGCTTAGAAGTGACTGCTTGGGGCCAATGAGTCACCTGTTGGCACAGATGCCCCGAAGGGCGGCTTACATGCCATGAACTAGAGCGAGGAGAGGGGAGAGGCTGACCCACCTGCTTAAACCTCCCGCCCGAGGAAACCAGACTGAGGATTGCATAGATTGTGCTCTAAAGTAAAACCCCTAAAAATGCTTCCCTGAATGGAAAATAGTAAGCTTTGTGCACATCATGTTTTAAATTGGCATTATAAATCCATGAACTCCCACGCAAATTTTACCAAGATGGAAACTGCTAAATATTTATGCAATTTTTGTGTTTTGTTTTGTTTTGTTTTTTTTTAGTAAATGAACATTTCTAAAATTGGAGAAGAAACAAAGAAACACAAAATCAAAGAAACAGGTGTCTGGGTTCTGAGTACAGACGCCCGGGCCCGCCCTCACTCGGGACCTGGCCTGGCGGGCGGCGGCACTTACCTTCACCGAAACTGGGCCTTCAGACCGAGCGAACCTACAACAGCAACTACAAACTCAGACACAAACCAATGAAGTGGGAGCAGAAGTCCTGGGGACTCTCAGGAACTTCTGAAACCAGACACGTACAAGGCCACCCATCACCCGGGCGCTCCCGCAGGCTAGGAGGTGACAGAGCGAGGCCGGCCAGGCACTGCGGTCCCCAGCCAGCCCCACCCGAGACCAGCCCTCACGCTCCCGGCCTCGCCTTCCCAGCACAGACAGTTCACAGTGTTACCAGGAAGGAAACAGTCGTTTAGGTCTGACAACTGGAAATGAAGCATAACAGAGTAGGAACAGAACCGATTCCAACCGAACAGCATAGCAGAACAGTCAACAGAGGGCAACGAAATTAAACACGGAATTAGCATAACTTACATGTTTTAAAAGTATATACTTCCTTTATAAATACCTCTAATTGACAGTCTATTCAGAGTCATAAATATTCAAGTGAACATTTGCATTTCTCCTTAAGAGCTCAGATTCCTGAAGTCCCGGAAGGGTAGTCTCCTTCTGCTGAATGTCCAAGAGGAAAAGTCCTCACAGTCACTTTATGTCTAACCAGACATAGAAAAGCCTTCATTACCTCCTGTGTTGCAATAAGGCTTTAAAATTCTGTAATTCTCTGATGCTGGTAGAAAGCCTATAGGAGAGAAAAGAAAGCCTTTTAGCCCCGCTAACATGATGTGTACATAGCTCAAATGGTTTACTATTCAAATGGTATATGGGCTATTATTAAAGCAAAATCCAAAATAAAAGGATGTATTCAACACTGAACATTGAAGCTTCTATTTTAAAATAAGTACATTGTGATTCCTTATTAAATATTAATAAAACACAGACCTATGGTCCTTCGGTCTTGGCTTAGAAGGGGCCAAGGAAGCCAGTTACTTCTTATCAATAGATTCATGATGGGGACAGTGATATGATTAATTCATTACAAAAAAGAACCTTAAGACATTTATATTTAGTCTATAAGTTCATTTTGCACATTTCTCTCCAAATACCCGCTCTTTTCTTTTTAAAAAAAAGTATATTGATCTTTTACAGAGAGGAAGGGAGAGGGATAGTGAGTTAGAAACATTGATGAGAGAGAAGCATTGATCAGCTGCCTCCTGCACACTCCCCACTGGTGATGTGCCTGCAACCAAGGTACATGCCCTTGACTGGAATCGAACCTGGGACCCTTCAATCCGCAGGCCGACGCTCTATCCACTGAGCCAAACCGGCTAGGGCCGCTCTTTTCTTATTGCTCCCCAAACACACCAGTTTGCTTTATACTCTTAGCTCCACAGTCTTTCGGGGTAAAGATTCTTTGTGTATTGTCTAGCACTGAAGCCATCCATGTCCATGGTGCCTAATCAACAATGAATGAAGGCAGTGAGACTCTGGAATGGGAATCACAAAATAAACCTATAAGCTCAGTTATCCTTCTGTACAATTCAAGGTGGACGCAATAAAAATCCAATGTTTTCTTTCTGTAGATTTGCCAGAGCTGGGCCAGGCTCCAGGCCGCTAGCAGCCCTGGCTCTGAGCCTGGCGCCCTCTAGAGGACAATAGAGGTAATAGCAGGCAATCAGGTAGAACCACAGTGGGATGGCGGCAGTTGAATGTTCTTTCTCAGTTACTTTATTTGGATTGAAAATGTTTAAATTATTTAAAATATTTTTCATTTAACTTTGAATAATTTAAATTTAACTCGGTCTCTCCTGTTTTATCTTACTACAGGCCCCATAAGTGGGTGGACTGAATTTTTCATGAAATGCCAATTACCGATGGACATTCTATGTCTACCTTGTTTGAAACCTCCGCTTACACATCATCTTTAAATACAGGGAGGCAACATGGTGAAAACTTTACCATTAAGACGGGGAAGGGGCAAATAACTTGTTTTTAATTTAACTGCCTCTTTTAACTTAAAAATGCACGTTAAGAAAACATAAGAAATAATCCCCGTATCACTTGGTTCCCTATTTTTTTTTTTTAATTCTTGACTTTTTTGCATTTTTTTCCCAGGGCAACTTAGTGTTATTTTCTCTGACTCAGTTCTCCCTGCTCTGTATTCCTCAGGAGGCTGGTGGTGCATGTAATTCTGAGGCAAATTCAAATTAATTTGAAAACCATCTGTGATACCAACAAAAAGCAAAATATCTATCTGTATGCAGAAGTAGCAGGCTAAAAGCGAGCAAGAGAGAAATGCCTCCTCGGTTTAAGAAACAGGACCAGCCCTGGCCGCTGTGGCTCAGTTGGTCGGAGTGTCGTCCCATATACTGGGGTGGGGGTTCAATCCCTGGTCGGGGCGGGTACGGAAGACAACCTATTGATGTTTCTCTCCCCCCCCTCCCCTTCCCTTCTCTCTAAAAATCAATAAGCACATCCTCAGGTGAAGATTAAAAACAAAAGAAAGAAGAGCAATGAAAGGTTTCATCTCTGTCTTTCCTCACCTCTCAACCAAGCTCTGGGTCCCCATTCTTGTTCTTGAACAAGTGACGTCAGCTAACGAGGGTGCTACTAGGGAGAGCGTCCTCCCACACACCTGAGGAGGCAAACGGGGGACCCCTGGCAAACAGATGCTGAGAGCTGGGGAGAGCTGGCTGGTACGGGTATGACCGTAAAAGTTTTCTCTCTGTCCGTGCAACAAAGCAAAACCAACCAGCTGAGCAGAGGTGAGCGCTGTGGCTGGCAGCAGCGGAGCGCCAGTCGGTCCTTACCTCCCAAAAGCATTGAGAAGAGCAACTATTTCCTGCCGAGTGAGCTGGAAGCCTTTCGATGGGCTGTTCTCCGGAAGCTTCTGGATTTCTTTCTCAGAGAACAGTATCTTCAGGGCAGTTCCTAAACCCTGAGTCTAAAGAAAAGAGAGAAACAGACGATCAATTCATATCCTAACCACTGTGAGGTTTAAAGGAAAACTCAGTTGCTGGTGTGAGTCAGGAAATGCACACGAACTTCATTCACTTCCCCATCTTATCAAACTTACGCAAAGCGGTTTCTACTTCCTGGCAGATGTGCACATGTCAGTTTATGTGCTGAACAACTTCACACATACCATTCGAGTCCAAATTACTGAAATGCCTTTTTTAACCTAAAAGTATCACAGCAGAATTACGATGTTCAGTAAGTAATCTTGAAAGCCTTCTTTACAGGTTCTAGCAACCCTAAACTTAAAAGTTATTAGCGATACCTACACTTAGTAACTTCTTAATTATAAACACTAGAGAAAAAGAAGAAAGATGGTGATTCCTAGGTAGCCGCCATTAGAATAATTCTGTCTACTGATTTTCTGACTTGTCATCTTTGTAAAAAAAAAAAAACCTACACAAAATATCAATCCTTTTTAGGCAGAATGTGGAGGGAAATGAGCAGAACTTTCCTATCTGGAGACGAGATGACCTTTTCATCGTTGAAACAGATTCAGTGACTAAAACTTCATGATTAAGTCCTTTTGTATAATTGTGTTTACCTTTGATATGGGTATATGAAGTACTAACGTTCTCTATTTATAACCCCCAACTTCAGAAATGAATCTGAGATTCTACCAATAGAAACAGACGCACTAAACCCAAACCACTAACAGAGAGTAATCGGAAAGACATCCTTACACATACACATAAAAGCCACAGCGTTTAAGACTAACTTCTTCATCTCTAACACAGAAAAACCACATTTCGGGCCTCTAATCCAATGAATGCGGGCATTTTAATAAAAAGTTTCAACTCCTCGTGGGAAAGTATACGGTTAGCAATAGTTTCAAACAGAAGGCAACACACAAACCTGCAGCTTCCCCCACAGCCTGCACTTGTCACACCCAACGCAGTCCATTATGCGAGAGATGTTCTTGAAATGCAGCCGGAATTCCTCCTAACGGGCAGAAAACATGTGTGTTCTAATCAGACATTTAACAGGAAACTGTGTTAGTCTGAATTATAAGAAATGAAAGTTTTGAAGTTTATTAGTGAAGTAGAGGCCCGATGCACAAAATTCGTGCATGGGTAGGGTCCTGAGGCCTGGCCTGTGATCAGAGGCAATCTGTGTGGCGACCAGCGGGGTGATGGGGGCAGAGGGAAGGGCCCCCCGCTGGCACCCGCCTTGGCTGGCCTGGGTCCTGCAGGCAGCTCCTGCATTGAGCGTCTGCCCCCTGGTGGTCAGTGTGCGTCATAGTGACCAATTGTTTCACCAGTCGTTCTGCTGTTCGGTTGATTTGTATATTAGGCTTTTATTATATAGGATGAGTTGTTTTTCAACAAAGACAAAGAAAATTATTTGAAACTGTATAGCAGAAAAATAAACAAATTTCCAAAACTAAAACAGAGTTGTGGCTAAATCATTTCATTTCAGAAACACCAAGAAACTCTTACAATGGAGAGCCACTCAATGCTAATTTATTAGTTCGTGTATAGCCACATCTGAACTAGCTTGGGGCCAAAGGTGTTTCAAAATTGTCAGACTTTAGAAACACAGTGCACCACTATTTATTATGAAACACTTCACCAGAGTGTGGGGCAACACCCTGCAATCAAACCCATTCATGTGTCTGTAGGAACAGTTACACAAACAGGCAAGAATATTTACACAAAGCAGAATTTAAAAAAAAAAAGACTATAAATAGTCTTACATCAGGTCAGGTTTTGCTAACTAATTTGCACCAAACACAAAAGCATGTTTCAGTTTTGGAGCTTTCTGAACTTGGGCACTGCACATGCTACTATCTGCCAGCCAAACACCTTTATACTGTGAAGGGCACAGTGTGTTCCTTAATGTACGTCCTGTAAGCAAAGGGAAACGAAGACCTCCCGCCACATGTAGGTTTCATAACATCCCTAAAATACAGTCTCCTGCTGGCCTCACAGGTTAGCAGGCACTTCCTGCCTCCTATGCTGCTCTCTAAGGCAAAACACGAGTTTCACAAACTGTGACATTCCATAAAAGAAACTTTAGAACAGAAACTATTTCTTGCCTTCAACGTGGATGCATCAAAGCTTTTTTCAAAGATGCATCAAAACAACACACACACTGTGATTATAAAGTGAGAAAACTCTTAGAACACTGCCCTTCAAAAGACATTACAAGGTGCCGTCCTCGGTCACGGTGATGGCTGGGACCCGCCCAGCAGGGTCTGTGAGGAAGGACTGGGGAGGAAGTGTGTGTGTGTGTGTGTGTGTGTGTGTGTGTGTGAGGGGGGACTGCATCGCTCACAGCAAATCACCTCACCAGCGAGGAGAGCGAACAGGCGAGTGGGGGGACCAGGACTAAAGCACAACCAGCGAACCGCTCCCGCCCGCACCCCGACTCCCCCCGTCAGCAACCTTTACCTTTAGAGATTTGGCCCCCTTCTTGTCCCCGGAGAACATGGATTTCTCGTCAAAGTGCATGGGAAAGGACCTGGGGAAATACAGGGCTGTAAGTGGCAGGCGACACATTCCGGTGCTGGGTACTAGAGCCTGGGAGAGCTTTGACGGGTACTTACAACCAATCCTAATTAGCTCACATGTAAGGCTTAGGAAAGTTCACACAGACAGTATTCAATAAGACTAAAGCAAGCTTTATAATGTACAAAGACAGCTTTAGAATGTATAAGGTTGTAATGTTTTAAAGAAATTATATGATAAAAATAATCTAAAAAAGGAACTAAAACAATTTATGTGAACAATGTAATCACTCTCTTAATATTTTACAGCATCTTTTAAAAGTTAATCATAATTTATGTTCAGCACTTCTTAGTCCAACACTGCTCCACGCTCATCTTCACTGGTAAACTCAAGTTTTAGATCCAGCATTTTTTTTAAGGTTAAATTCTTAGAAAGTAAGGCTAATAATGTTCCCTTAAGTACCGATTGATATCTAACATACATAGGTATCTAACATGATATCACCTGAACTTCAATAGCAACTGGAATACAAAATGGGTAGAAAGAACATTAAAGTAGCATTAAATGTTGCTACATAAAATTTAAAGTTATATTTAAAAAGATAGCCTATTCTCAAGTATGAAAGTGCAATGACGTATTATTAGATGATTTTCAGATAACGTTTTTTGAAAAAACGTCAAAGACTGCTGTTGTCCTGGCCATCCTCGTCTATCTTCTGATTATCCCCTTTTTTAAAATATATTTTTATTGATCTCAGAGCGGAAGGGAGAGGGAACGAGAGATAGAAACATCAATGATGAGAGGGAATCATTGGTCGGCTGCCTCCTGCACGCCCCCTTAGAATTGAATCCGGGACCTTTCAGTCCGCAGGCCAAGGCTCTATCCACTGCGCCACACCAGCCAGGGCTTTGACTCTCCTTTTGCTAAAGAACCTCCTGAGGCCTGTGTGTGGCCTTCAGGCGCCGCCTGGTTAGACCCAGGGCGGGCCGCCCAGCCCTGACGTGAGTCTCACTTTGTGTCTTGGAAGATGTTCAGGAGGAGGGTCTTGGTGTCGGCGTCATCGTCCACGTTGCCAGTGTACAGATCGACCACCGAGCGCTCGAAGTACGGGGCCACCTTGGACAAGGCCCGCAGCTCAATGAGGTACAGGAAGTACAGGTTCTTCAGCCGCCTCGGGCCTTCTCCCTTGGTTTCCACGGGGTCAAAGCGGCGTTTGAATTCTTTGATGTTAGGTCCCCAGCTGGGCTTACCCCAGGTTTCTAAAGAGAAAGAGCAATACATGATATACTTTTAATAGGCAGATTTTTAAAAATATATTTTTATTGATTTCAGAGAGGAAGGGAGAGGGAGAGAGAGAGAGAGAAACATCAATGATGAGAGAGAACCATGGATCGGCTGCCTCCTGCACGCCCCCTACTGGGGATCGAGCCCACAACCCGGGCACGTCCCCTTGACTAGAATCAAACCTGGGACCCTTTAGTCTGCAGACTGACGCTCTATCCACTGAGCAAACCAGCTAGGGCTAATAGAGTTTTTAAAAATAGAGAATGTGTATTTTCCCCAAACAGTTTTCACACAGAAAGAAGGCAAATTTCTACATAAAAATTGATTACCTTCCAAAAGATAATTCGCACACAGATGTAAATTGATGCTGGCATGAAGTCCCGATATGAGCTTATAGAAGACTCTTTTCTCCAGACATAAACCTGTTCAGGAAAATAGTGAAAAAATCAAGAACATGAAGAATAAATCAAAAAATGGTATGAAATAATTAGGTCAAGATTCTCTCAAGAGAAAATGAGGTTCTGGCTTCCGAACAGAGTGAACTGGATGATGCCTGGAGGCAGAACAAGCAGAAAATGCTGGGCTGCCGGAGGCCCAAACACTGAGGATGCCCGTGGCAGGCCCGTTACCCAGAAGGCAACAGCGCAGCTGCTTCACAGTCAGACCAAGTCCTGCTTTGGCGTAAGGGCAGCCTGCTCCCCCCTCCCCGGAGAGGTTCTCTCTTTCACCCACGTGGTGATGAGGAGGAAGAGACCGGTTTGGTTTCTCTCCTCCCTCCAGGCCTTTCGCCCTCCAGGGCAGGATCTATACTGCTTTATCCTTTAACTAGACAAGTTCAGATTATACTAACACGTGAATTCAGGTTTAAAACCTTCTGAGTCCCTCTGCCTCGCGTTCTCTAGTTCTACTTAACCATCTGTCCCACTAGAATGTGTCACTTTCCACTAGTATTCTATATGTCTAGTATTTTCAATATTAGAAAATATAAGAATGCAAAAGCATCTAGTATATTGGAATCTATACTGCTTTTGTTTTTGTTTTTTTGTTCATGTTCACCTGAGGATATTTTTCCATTGATTTTTAGGGAGGGTGGAAGAAGAGAGAGAAAAATCGATGTGAGAGAAACACATCGATTGGGTGCAGGACCAGGGCCCAGGCTGGGGAGGAGCCTGCAACCAAGGTACATGCGCTTGACTGGGATCGAACCCAGGACCCTTTGGTCTGTAGGCCAACACTCTATCCACTGAGCCAAACCGGCCAGGGCAAGATCTATACTGCTTTATCCTTTAACTAGACAAGTTCAGATTATATTAACATGTGAATTCAGGTTTAAAACCTTCTGAATTCAAATTGACCTTCCCTCTGTTTCGTGGGGAAAAAGTATTTCCTTCCATAGGAAGGTCTGCGTGGACTCAGGCCTGTTGGCGGTCACGGGACCGAGTCGGGATGAGTGTCCACGCAGAGCGGCCGGACTGGGGACCAGTGACAGCACCAGTGCATATCCATGATGCTGGGCTGGGCCTCAACATTTTCAAGTAATTGCCTCCCAGAACATAATAACCTAAAACATGTGCTTTTCTTTTCAACACTCAAAATTAGTTGTTTAGGCAATGAATCCCAAAACTTACAAAAATATAGTCAGTAAATCAATACATTTCTTACAAGAACCCAATACATTTAAAACACAGACGTATTTACCTTCTAGCCACGTGTAGAATGATTCTCCTTTAAAAAAGAACACACACACACACACACATACAAAACTGGGTTAACATATTTTAAATCATCATTTACATATTCAAATAAATTAAGTCTATAAAATATTTTATGGCAGATTAAGGACTATTTCTAGAAATGGCCACTACTTCATATGAAGTAGAAAAACAGAGACATGGGTCTAGAAAATAAAGCCCAAAGGTAATGTGAGTATTGGGAGAATGTTCTTATAAATGATATTTTGACTAGTAAAAGTTTTGAGAAAACATTCCAGTCAAAATGCTATATAAATCGTATTCACTAGAAAACTTAAACATTCATCAGTATGGGGAGAGAGTTTAACAATTTTAAATTTGCTTTTGATAACTACAGCACTCTTTTAAAAGTCCAGAAAAAATAGTGAGTTATAATGAATACAAAAATCTCATTATTATTCTATTTTTCCTGATTCAGTAGAGCTAGGTATATTTCCTCAATTATTTAAGACTATTACAGTTCAAGGGATAGTTTTTCATTCCCTTCACTTTCAAGACATTCTTCAGAAAAGCGAATGACTAAAACACAGAGGGCTGTGGCCTATCCGAGCACTAACGCTGAAGGACTATTTCTAGACCAACACTGCTGTTTACTGAAGAACAAAATGGCAGTGGGTAAAATGGAAAGAGTTCATGCTCTTCCGGCATCACCAATCCTGATTTTACTTAAGAAAAGCAAACCTCAACTCACACGAGCTGAGCAGGAATCCAGGGGATAAATTACCAGTAGACGGTGGGAAATTACCGGGCCTCCTGAGGGTCTACTCATTTTGCAAATCTCCATCTTCCTACAGTCACTCATTCAATATCCTCTTACTAAGAATCATTCATTATCTCCCTTTTTTATTCAAAAAACCCCGAGTGCTAATAGGAAAGTCTAGCCCCCAAGGTCCTCAGTAATCTGGCTTCTATCATCTCCCTAATTTCCCC